AAAAAAAAAAAAAGAAAAGAGAAAGAAAGAAAAGAAAATGTGTTACTGAATCATTACTACAGGTGAGCCACTTCATGAGTTGTTTTAGTTCCCATGAAAGGAGGACTAACTAGAGCTTCTCAACCAGAGAATCCTCTAAAACCACACTCTACCTCTCTAAGTCACCAGGTACCACTGTCATATGGACTGGCTCATGAAAGTCTGGCTGCCTGTTACCAAACAAATTCCAGGGGAGTAAAAAGCCAACAGAGTGCACTTACCTTGGCAAGGGCATCTTCTAAGGTCCAAGTCACGTCCTGTGCCAGGGCCATAGGGCAGCAGAGGCGCAGATCATTGAAGGCAACTAGAATATTGTTGAGGAAGCAGGCCAGGGGTGGGAAGTCTAAGAGCACCATTGGTGGCTGCAGTGTCCCCGGCTGGGCAGCTGGCACAGCAGCAGGGATAGTACTGCTGCCCAGGATGGCTGGAGCTGAGATGAGAGTATAGGAGCTCATTTCATCCTGGAATTTCTCCACTGCTTCCTGAATTGCTTTCTGGAAAGTGCTAATGGCCACCCGCTGGAAGACAGGTGCTAACTGGCCCCGGAAATCAGCCCCTACCCGGCTGAAGGACAGCCCAAAGTACATGCACTGGCCCAGCAGAGAGTCTAGGCGGCTGCCTATCCCCCGGTTAAGGTCAGCCTCCAGCACCTGCAGGAACTGCGAGACTTTCTGTAGCACCCAGCCATGGAAGATGGCGCTTTCATTCACAGTGTGCTCCCCCACAGCAGGCGGCAGCAGGGGGTCCTCATCTGAGAAAATGGCACGGTACTGGGTGATGATATCAAAGAGATGGACACGGCAGGCCTCAATGGTTTTGGTGATGTGGAAATAGGGATCATTGTTAGGGATGGCAGTCAGGATGGAACGGAGCCAAGCGTCCCGGGCCTGAAGAAACTTCACTCTCAGCTCAGCCTCAGTGAAGACATCCATGCGCCGCAGGTAGCCAATGACGCGGAGGCAGGCGGGGAGTTGGATGTTGGTTCTCAGTTGCTGGATCAGCTGGCTCAGCATCAGCTGCATGGACTGGCGCACTTCGTTCACAATGCCCTGACACACAGGGAGAGAGTCACATGTGCTGGAACAGACATTCTGGAACCCATTCCATTAACCCTGAATACTGCAGAACAACATTCCCACGGCTTTTCTGAAATATACACTTCCTATAGCTGATACCTGCAGGTTTGCCAACAAAGACCTGGTCCGGCTAACTTCTTAATTCTTTTATTTTTTAAGAAACAGGGTCTATGTTGCTCATGTTGGACTTGAACTGGGCTCAGTCAATCTTCCCACTTCAGCCTCCCAAGTATAAACCCTCCAATGACGTCCCCCTGCAATCTATAAAATCCAACTGTACCATGGCCAACCCGACCCTGCCTGGCTCTCCAACTTCAGCTGCTTCCCAGCACTCTCCCATTGCTTACTACAATCCACTACACCACTGCCTTTGCATCCACCTCCAGCTTTTTCCTACCTCAGCCCTCTGCACTTGTTTTTATCAGTTTCTGGTTTGTTCCTTCCCCAGATCTTTGCTGGGCGGCTCCTTCTCATTATTTAGGTCTCAGCTTAAATGTTACCTCTCCATTTCCTGACTCTTCTACCTAAAGAAACCTACCCTAGTCTCCTTCTACTGCATTCCCTGATTTATTTTCTTCAGACACCACCACTATCTGAAATAAATAATACGTATTCTTAATTTCTTTGTCAAGTATCAGACTTCCCACTAGTGTGTAAGCTTGATGAAAGCCAGGGAGTCGTCTGCTCTGTTCACACTGTATCCCTAGCACCTAGAACAGTACTTGGCACATGATTAATACATATCTTTTACATGAATGAATGAATGAATGCTTTATTTTCTAACCTGCCTGGCCAGCAGAGATTGATGTGAAATAAGCAAGAGTTCCTACCTAAAGCTTCAGTCCTGACCACAGACTAAATGGCTGTAAGAACATCAGTTTGAGTCCTCTCTGGGTAAGTGGCTACCTGGATGACAGGGATGGAAGAGTATTTTCTTTCCAGTCGGCGTACATAAGCCGCAAGCTCCAGGGCCTCTTCATAATAGCTGTTCCGGACACAAGTGTCCATTAGTTGAGGAATCTCCAATATTTCCAAGATTTCTGTGTGCCGATTTAGAGTCAGGGTATTCATCCGGCGGTTGGAGCTGATCTCCTCGGCTTCCTTCACAAAGTTCCTAGTAACAATCAGGAGAACATTGGTGCCTCACTGCTCTGCTCCCAAACCTTAGCTACAGTTACCAATCACACCATCAAGCTGGATGATGTGATGTAATCCTCACACTGTATTTATGACTTAAGTGAGAAATACTTGTTTAATACCAGAGAGGTTAAGCAATCTGCCTAAAAACACAACTCTCTGGGAGGCCAAGGCTTGTGGGTCACTTGAACTCAGGAGCTCAAGACCAATCTAAGCAAGAATGAGACCCAAAAAACAGCTGGGCCTTGTGGTGGGCACCTATAGTTTCAGCTACTTGGGAGGCTGAGGCAAGAGAATCACTTGAGCCCAAGAGTTTGAGGTTGCTGTGAGCTGTGACTCCACAGCACTGTACTGAGGGCAACAAAGTAAGATTGTCGCAAAAAAAAGAAAGAAAAAGAAAAAGAAATGCTGGGGAAACTGTGTGGAGATACCCCAAAGAACTTAAAGAAGTAGACCTACCATTTGATCAAGTAATCCCACTGCTAGGTGTGTACCCGAAGGAAAGAAGGGCATGTTATGCAAAGGACACCTGCACTGGAACGTTTATTGCAGCACAATTCACAATCTGAAAGATGTGGAAACAATCCAAGTGCCCACTGATACATGAAGGGATTTATAAGTATAGTCATACTATAGAATACTACTCAGGCATTAAAAAAATGGCAATCTAGTTCAGCGCTTGTGGCTCAAGTGGCTAAGGCCCCAGCCACATACACCTGAGCTGGCAGGTTTGAATCCAGCCCGGGCCCGCCAAACAACAGTGATG